TCTCAGACATACGTACTTGGCAACATTGTCGTCAAAAACACGTTAAGGGCAAGAAGGTTGCTTAGCACGCAGCGGCCGTTCTGTATCCAGGGTTCCATTTACAAAACATTTATATTCGTTACACTCAAAAACCGAGGCACTGTTTTTATTCTAAGACTATGAAAAAAGAAAAGGAAGAAAAAAAAGGGTTATCTGCTTTAATAAAAAAAAACTGTATGTGTCAGCTCCGACGCACGACTGGAGTTTACTTCTTACGTTCGATAGTCTAATCAGACGCAAAAAGATGGGTGCGTGTACTTATGTAGGCGCGTGAGAAGTTATCCTTCTTTGGCATCGTTTAAAATTAGTTTTTAATTAAAAATAAAAAGTCTGGAAAAGGACAGTCAATAAAGTTCAGTTTTAATTTGAAAAAATAAATAAATAATCAAAATATTCAATTAAAATCGCTACTGAATATAATTTATTAGAACATATGTGATTTGCAATTGTATGAAACTCAAACACGTATTCCGAATATACAAACTAGAAACATGTGGATAAATATTATAAATATGAATACCTATAACTGTTACTTTATTACAAAAAATAAAGATGTGGTTTTTGGTTCTACTACACCAATGGTCAAGAGATGGCGCTGTAGTCTCCTGAATCGCGCTTTGGTTCCATTGTTCCAGATTAATAAATACTTTTGATAGGCCTTCACAATGCAGTCGTTAGCACCCTTCATGCTGCAACTTCATGCTGTTAAAATTTTGTGTTACAGTGATGCGCGCGCATCTTAAAATTTCACTCTCATCATTTTTTCATAACGCGCCTAAAGAAGTATAACTTCAAAAAGAGTTTATTTAACTTAAAAAAGATTGATACTATACGAAAGGGTAAATTAACAAATTAATGAAAATAATATACATATATAAATATATATTTATTCATTTCATATACATTTATTATAACTAATCGACGAAATATTTTACATTAAACTTTCTTTAATAGTCAATTTCAGATGTGCATAAATATATCATTAGGCATGTTGATAAATTATGTAATTATTATTATCAGACTACTATAATTTTTTTAAATATTAATTAAATCAACATTGTCTGCATTATTAATTACAGTGACAAGTGGTTTATGGTAACTAAAATAAGACACATGGACGTTCGTAGATACGTGGTTCACGAATCTTGAATATACCGCATCAATGGTTGTACCATACCTCGTTGTCCCCATTGCTTTATCAGAAACAATATCTAAATTCAGTTCAGATTTTAAAATTTTTATTAATTTTTCGCGACATAGGATGCGCACCAAAAACGTAACGAGGTCATTCATCGATAGATTTTACTCCTCACATTTTTCTCATACCGGGCCCCTTATATATGCAAATCGATTCTTAAGGAGTAAACTCCAAAAATGCGTGAGTGTAGTGGAACACTCGGTTGGAACGAAGTTAAAAATATTTATATACTGCCGTGTCCTCAAGCTAAAAGGCGGCAAAATGATAAAAGCAACTTTCGAGATATGGCACAAAACGACACGTAAACTTTAAATTATTGCTATTTTGTAACCATCTATCACACGACGGATTTTTAGACTTAATTATAAATAATACGAATTCTTGTTAAAGACAGATCGATAGAGAATAAAAAACTGTATAAGATACAATTTAAGACTGATTTATCGACCATATGTCACATAGCCGCACTTTAGCATGAGGACGGCAGTATCATCATCATCATCAGCCTATTAATGTCCCCACTGCTGGGGCACAGGTCTTCCCTATGGATGGAATAGGGAGATTGGGCCATGACCCACCACGCGGGCCCAGTGCGGATTGGTGGGTGCTAACGACTGCAGATGCAGCCGGGACCAACGGCTTAACGTGCCTTCCGAAGCACGGAGGAGCTCGAGATAGTAAAAATTTTTTTGGTCACCCATCCAATGACCGACCACTGCGAAAGTTGCTTAACTTCAACGATCGCAGCCGAACGCGCTAACCACTTACGCCATTGACCTCCTCTCCTCTCTCTCTCTCCTCCTCGAGGACGGCAGTATACCCCCCACTAAACAGTACTCTTTCCCTGTTCCATTTTAAAAAAAAAGTATACTATTCACCAATCCCGTTTCCGAGTCTCCCTCGCGTTTTCCACCGGAGGCAACTGGGAATGAAGTTATTGCCCACTTTAGTATTTTCCCCCAATCCCATTTTCCTCAGGTGGCAATCCCCGCTGGGGTGACTGAGATTATAAGACCAATCCGCACTAGGTCCATTGTAGACGCTCCCGGTCCATCACTCACCAAACAAAACTAATAACCAAGAACCACCGCCTTCAGTAGTCGCTCACCTCGCTGCCCAATTAGCTACCCGCCCAGCTGCTAGCTGCCTAGCTAGCTGCCTCGCTAGGTTGTGATGGTACATTTCCTCCTAGCCCGAATATCCACAATACCGTATGAAAAGGAGCTTCGTACCAAAAATTGGGATTCCTGTGTTATCATATCATAAAAGAAGAACTAAAGTAGTAACCCTATCTTGTAAGTACCTTTTTATTGCCAAAGTTTTTGGATGTGGTCCTTCCAAACTTTCTAGGTTTTTGAAGTTATACTTCTTTAGTCGCGTTATGAAAAAATGATGAGAGTGAAATTTTTAGATGCGGGCGCATCACTGTAACTCAAAAGTAACAGCATGAAGTTGGCCGCGGGCGCGTTATGAAAAAATCATGTGAGTGAAATTTCGAGATGCGCGCGCATCACTGTAACACAATAGTAACACCATGAAGTTGGCCGCGGGCGCGTTGTGAATGTTAGTTATTAGACATCTGTTCGAAAGGTACTTTGAACGATCCACGGAGCTACATAAGATGATCGCGTTGTCAAAAACAATGTTGGCACGCTCGTCGCCTCTGATCACTGTTTTCATATTTATAATATTTATCCACATGTTTCTAGTTTCTATAGAGACACAACATGTTTTAGTTACTTACAAGTGCTAATTACATATGGACTAATAACTTAAATTCAGTAGTGATTTTAATTGAATATTTTGAATATTTATTTAATTTTTCAAATTAAAACTGTACTTAATTGATTGTGTTAACTATCCTTTTCCAGTCCTTTTATTATTTTATTGTAATTATTAATTATTTGCATGCAATTAAAAAATATTTTTAATGATGCTAAAGAAGTATAACTTCTCACGCGCGTACATAAGTTACACGCATCCATTTTTTTGAAGTTATACTTCTTTAGGCGCGTTATGAAAAACAGATGAGAGTGAAATTTTAAGATGCGCGCGCATCACTGTAACACAAAATTTTAACAGCATGAAGTTGGTCGCTTTAGCGACCAACTTCATGCTGTTACTTTTGTGTTTACCGCACATTAAGAAAATCTACCAACAAAATAGAAATAGAATCTCTATTTAGTGGGTGCTAACGACTGCATTGTGAAGGCCTATCAAAAGTATTTATTAATCTGGAACAACGGAACCAAAGCGCGATTCAGGAGACTACAGCGCCATCTCTTGACCATTGGTGTAGTAGAACCAAAAACCACATCTTTATTTTTTGTAATAAAGTAACAGTTATAGGTATTCATATTTATAATATTTATCCACATGTTTCTAGTTTGTATATTCGGAATACGTGTTTGAGTTTCATACAAGTGCAAATCACATATGTTCTAATAAATTATATTCAGTAGCGATTTTAATTGAATATTTTGATTATTTATTTATTTTTTCAAATTAAAACTGAACTTTATTGACTGTGTCCTTTTCCAGACTTTTTATTAATTTATTGTAATTAATTATTTGCATGCAATTAAAAACTAATTTTAAACGATGCCAAAGAAGGATAACTTCTCACGCGCCTACAAAAGTACACGCACCCATTTTTTATGTATAAAATTTGTCCAACAGTACCTGGTGCTCAAACTTGCTAGTTTTATTAAAAATAATATTTCGCATGATCAAACTTTGTACAAGCCATTTTAATTATATTTTATTAAGTTAAGCAATAAAGGCATTCACTTCATATTGACGTCCTTAAATAATTATCTCCCGACGATCATCCCGTGATGTTATTGGCATACTGACAGTCGTTAAGGTCCTAGTACCGGCCCCTGCAGTTTGATCCGGCTCGAAGGACCAAACTGTATTGCATCGACTCGGAATGCAAAATTACTAAAATATTTTTAAAATAACTTGTACAAACTTGGTTAAACCTTAATGCACATCGCCATAGCTGTATTCTCTATTATTATAAAGCAACACATTTTAGAACCAAGTAGCATTAACATCCGGTTTTGCTTGACCAGTTTTGAGTTTACAGCCGCTGGTCGTAACGACGGCACCGGAGACCGGTTGGTAGGTCATAAACTGGTAGTTGTTTTACACCCGCTCTCACAATAAAACACGGGCGAGGTTACTTCGAGAAGTGTCTGCAATAGTGCGCGATAAGTGACTTTGACAATGGCCGCTGGTAGGATGCATGAGCAAGAGGTGTTTTATTTTTATTTATTTGTTTATAATCAGGCAACGTGGGCACATTGATAAATAACATGTATATAATACAAGTAATATACCTATATTAAATGTCAGTAAATAAAAAATAATGACTATGTCAGGGGAGTTCTAGAGCGGAGACCGCGTCTAGGCAAACGTAGTGTAGGACGTCCTCAGGCACGATGGAGTGACGATTTGCGCAAGGTGGCTGGCAGGAGCTGGATGCGAGTAGCCCAAGATCGATCTGAGTGGCGTGCATTTGGAGAGGCCTATGTCCAGCAGTGGACTAAGATAGGCTGTTGATGATTATGATTGATGATGTTAGGGGAAACCTAATTAACGACGGCGACGTGTGACGCGGAGTGGTATCAGGTAGCCGGCCTCGGAACCGCCGGAACACAACACCTTTTGGGCAAAGATATTCCTTCCTGAAAGTCACCAGGTGTCAAGCCGGCACCCGCACCACAAAGGAATTCAAATTCACATTGTGACGGGACTCCTACCGTGCGACTCGCAGGGACAATTTGGTCTTAATCAGCAGGTACTCTACGATCTCCTCTTCCTTCGTAGAGTAATGCAGTCGGGACACGTACAACGCCGCTCGGTATTGCAAGACACAGCAGGTGGTTCGCTCCGGTCGGGGCGGCACCACACAGCTTGCGGCGAATGGGCTTCCTCTTCTTCCTTTCCACTTTAATGAAACCCTCTTCGTCCGAAATCCGATTTTGTGACGCTGCCGGAGTAGCATGTTGGATGCTGAGTTTTCGATCTTCTCCGTTTGTTGTTTATTGCGGCGCTCGCAATTCAGAGCGGCATCAACGGGTCGGCTGGCGGCTGCAGCTGCGTAAGCACGTCTACATGTGCATTCGCGTGACGTCTCCGGTGTGACGGAGGGGCGGCCGGTGACGGCGGCCGGTGACTCACTCGAAGCGCCGATTCAATGCTGCCGACGGATACATTTTGTATCGCTTACGTGTGTTTACGTTAGAGGACACGGGTGACCTTTTTTTATTTTTATTACGCAGGTAAAACCTTTGTTTACAGACGTTGGCGCCCTTAAGGGGCACACCAACGAACGGACCTCACACCTGGCCTCTCGCAAGTCTCACGGGTGCGAAACAGCTAAGCCGTTAAGCAGTCCGCGCGGCTTACGAGCGCTTATGGCATACTATCCGCTAAAAACATCCTGCGAATACCCTCTACGCTGTTTAAGTGCGGAACCGCAAGATCTCCCCGTTGAGGGACTTCACCGCGTCTCCGCACCCAACAGCCTCCCGGCCTAGCCGGGGCTCCACGGCAGGGATCACCCGGGGTATTTCGGGAGATCCCGCAGACGTGCGTAGGACTGCCCGCGCTAGGAGCTAACTGCACGGCCTATTGCCCACCGCACCGCTCCCCGTCCGCTGCGGAAGGGCTGCCTAGGTGTTTCCCTCGCAGGCCCTACCGCGGCCCTCTCATGTAGGACAGAAATACAAGAGAGGGCTGCCATCACGGAAGCCATCGGTGACCGGCATAGCTAAGGACTCGGGCGACCTACTTGCACAGGCATTGTTGCTTAATAATTCTACCTTCAGCTCGCAACTCACCGATGGTGTTATTGGAGTTCTCCAACTTGCTCACTATATCGGCCAGGGTCCTTCAAGCTAATGTCCTTCAGCAGCCTGGTGACATCGACGTGGTCGAACGTGACGGGGGGCAGCTTGTGCAGCTCCTTCACCACGAATGTAGTCACTTCGTCCAGATCGGTCTCCTTTAGCAGGGTGACTATATCCTGCACACTCTTCTTCATTCATCCCTCCGTCGACCTTGCCGACACACCGGAACAGCATCGCCTTGCCACTGCAAACCTCATCCTCCTTGAAGTTGGACTTACAGATCTGCAGGATGCTGACCTCGTCCATGGTGTTAATGGCGTTTTATATAAACGCCACCAACTGGTTAGCTATGAGTTGATCGGAACTTAACTACGGAGGCGTACGACCGTTTTCAGTTGGTTTGGTATCGGTTACATCTACAAATATTCAAACCACCAATCCACGCTGGACCCACTGCGTAATAATGGTTCGGTGCCTAAATGGTATGTCAGTCACAGATCTCTATCTCCGAAAATTTCAACATAATGCTTGTTACTATAGCTTCTAACACAACAAAATATTTAAAAAAACGACGGGTTGCACCCCGGGAGTGCCGGCAGAAGTGAAAACTTGAATATTAACGTTGTGCATTTTTGATACTTTGGAATGGTTAGGGAATAATTTAACACGAATTGCTTTAACTATCAGTATAAAAGTACTATCATTTATGTGGTAGAATACAATATTTATTTATTGCGCTATCGTACACAAACATGACAATTTATATTACATTAAAAAAGTTTATCTCTCAGACTAATCAACTTACATGAATCACGTTTAAGCGCACTTAGCGACATCTATTGTAAAAAAATCAACTTACATGAATCACATTTAAGCGCCCCTAGCGAAATCTATTGTAAAAAATGCATTTTCTTCGCAATAAAGCTGCCACCTGGACGTCCTAGATAATGACTTATTATTATAATACGTTAAAATAAAATATTACTATGTTTCGTCCATAATATATTGAAAGTCCATAGTCTTATCAGACTATTCTTAACTTATAACTTAAATATTCTCTTTATCTATCTCTTACGGTTTGGCCGCTGAAACAGCACCACAGACAGACGGACTTGTCTAATAGATAAGAGATGATATTAGTGCGGTGCGGTTGGTTTTATATTACAAACGATTTGTAAATACCAATCCGCATGAACGTCAAGCAACTTTTTTCAGCATATTTGCGAGAAAACAATATCCTTACCTTATTTAATTAAACCTTATAAACTTGATGACATTTTTAAAATAAAATATTATTATGCATAAAACGTTTAAATTCAATTGAGTATATTTTGTTTTTTGTTATTGTCTTTTTTGATTGTGCTATTGATTATTATTTAAAATAGATTTATATTAAGATCTTTTTGCCTTAAACACAGTACAATCCTAGTTCAGGCTGTGTATTTTTTTCACATTTTGTATTTTTTAGATTTAGTTAATTGAATAAAGATTTATTATTATTAATTAATCAAGCAAATTCCTTATAAGAAAATAGCTCGCATTTCCAAATGGCTCCACGAGCGGGTGGTGAAAATTTTAACTACATCTTACGTCTCTTTCTTTTTATATTATTAAATTGAGACAAAGGTAAAGGCTAAAAGCGCAAAGGAGGTTTGAATGAAATTATGGAAACGCATGGCGCTATGTATGGGAGCGTGTGGTAAAACGTTTTACCGCACGCTTCGTTGTTTGGTCTGTAATTTTGAACTTTTAAACGATGTGTATAACCTCCGTAAATGCATTTTTTGAGCAAATGTGTTGAAAAGGTTTTTCCCGAAAACATCCCTTAAACGTACAAAAAGGTGGATGGACATTTGTAAAGAGAATCCATGCAATCTAATCCGATTCTTATTTCTTTTTGTAATTGCAAGGGATACTCCGGAGATATAGTCCTATAGAAAAATTGCATCTGATAATGGAACGATGAATTGTTGATCCTTTCACACGAGACACCTTTCACAAGAGTTGTAACCCGTAAGGGTTACTCTTGTCAAAATGTTTTATGTGAAACTAGTGGCCCGCCCTCGCTTCGCTTCGGTGTAGAGCTGTAGTTTAGATTATATTTTGGTTCTCAGGTTTCTATTAAACACAATGACTTTCTTTAAATACCTAATTATTAAAGACACGCGCCGCCGCCGGCCCTCCGGCCAGTACTGCCCGAACCGGTATGTTCCTGCATTTTAAATCTGTAATATCTTCGAAAATATTCATTTAAATTACATGCTGTAAAGGGTTATATTGATCTATATTACACGCACAATGTATTTATGGTACTTAATTGGATAAGGATTAATGCTGTATTGCTTAACATCGCTTGTTCGTAAATAAGCCATTATTTTCTAGTAATAAGTAATTAAAAAATGGTTATTGTGGGTTATACCAAAGAGATAGGCATATACCATCGCGGACTTTTTTGGAGACCTTTTTAAGGTGTACAATACTGTAGTACATTATTTTGATCTATCTCGTTGGGTTCAGCCAGCGTTTGCAATGTAAGCGCAAAATAAATGTGTTTATTTACGACCTTATATTATTATTTAATTATCAGTGTTTCTCTACTATATTATGCATGTATTATACATATAAACCTTCCTCTTGAATCACTCTATCTATTAAAAAAACCGCATCAAAATCCGTTGCGTAGTTTCAAAGATTTAAGCTTACAAAGGGACATAGGGACAGAGAAAGCGACTTTGTTTTATACTATGTAGTGATTATGAAGTGTCAACAATAATATATATCGTAACATATAATGTAAATCGCTTATACCCTTTAAAGAGGGTTATTGAATGTTTGGTTTGAGTGAAAACATAAGGAATAAATATTGCATTTCATAACGAACAAGAGACATGTAACAGTGCATCTAATATTAATTAAGCGTTTCAAGTGACCTATGATTACCAAAGCTCGTGAAATCATCGTGCTTTCTCAATACAACGGGATACATTCTGGACTTTACGATAAGGTAATAAAGGTCATAATGCACCGACACAGACCAGCACGGGTGCCGAATCACTGCGCCCCCATAAATCTCCCGGGACACTTCGTTATAGAATAGCGGGGGCGAATATGTTTTTGGTGGAATTGGGGAAATCATATCATTTCCCGTGACACATTTTTGTTGATGCCGTCTGGCAGGCGAAAAGAGATTTTCACCAAACAGTTAGGTAATGTTAGCGTTGCTGTTTGCGTCAAGTCAGCGATGACAGTAGGATACAAATATCAGCAAGAATTTGAAAGCAATAAAGCATTTGAGTGTGTGAGAGTTACAGAATGGTGTTCAGTTGAAAGCCTTGTCGATTTGCTACGCCTGAGGGTTACGCAGGGCATATTCACAAATTGGAAACCGGATTCAAGAAATATCACTATTGACTGCAGATGAAGACCAAAGGGTCAACAATTAATAGTCGCATATATTATATGCGCCTATATTGATTATAACATGGCGTAGTTGCTGTTATAAGACACAGGCCTCACGGAGTACTGGCTGGAACTGACCTAAAGGTAGTATTCAATCTAGTTTTCTGATTAGTATAGAGTAGGTGTGAGCGTTCTAAAGACGAACCGGTTTCAAGGACCGTTTTGTGTTCCGCGACGATAGAACCGTTTTACGTTTCGGATCAAAACAGTCTTCGTCGAACAACTAGTCCTCGGATTGTCTGCACGCCAATATGTACTTTATGATGAAGTAAATACAGACTATAATAGAACGCAATGATATGAGGCCGTTTTGTTCTATGATAATTAAGCTTTGATTTTACAATAATATAATCTTTATTACTGAACGTTTAAAGTCGATTATCGTATAACACAACATTTATTTTGATGTTTGGTCGTCTCTTTCGCAGCAACGAAACGAACGTTAACAAGATTTCATTTAGTTCAGTTTCGTTGCGTTACATTCGTTCGACCGTCGCGTGTCGTTTCGTTGCGTCACCCAGCCGCAACCAAAACCAGTTGCGAACGAGAACCGTTTCGAGGACTAGTTTTCGTTTAAGAGAAAACGGTTGCGTTTCGTCGTCAGAAAATTTGAGAACGACCCACCGCTAATTATAACGTGGCGTAGTTGCTGTTATAAGACACAGGCCTCACGGAGTACTGGCTGGAACTGACCTAAAAGGTTGTATTCAATCTAGTTTTCTGATTAGTATAGAGGTTGCTTGCCCTGACGGTAGTCCCAATTTGGGCGTGAAATCCGCGATCTCTACCTTGTTCAACTCCCTAAAAGTCTGTCAATTATTTAGATAATAGGCTAAGGTTGTATAATTCAAAAAAATATTGAACTTGAG